CTCCTCCCTAGGACAGCATGCAATCTGATGTAGGCTCTACATATACATTCACATTAAACATTTTTTCACGTTAGTCATGTTGTGAAGAAGAATTAGAACTAATGGGAGGAACCACAAGAAAGAAAAAACAAAAAAAAAGAGAGAGAGCAAATAATATGTATGCTTCGATCTGCATTCAGACTCCATAGTTCTTTTTCTGGATGTGGATAGCATTTTTCAGTGTCTTTTGGAATTGTCTTAGATCATTGTATTGCTGAGAAGAGCTTAGTCTATCATAGTTGATCATCTCACAGTGTGGCTGTTACTGTGTATAATGTTCTCCTGGTTCTTCTCACTTCACTCAGTTATTTCCTGACTAGATTTTTTTAAAAAGGCAATTTAAATTTTATTACCAATATTCCAAATATTTATTTGAGTTGAAGTGTTATTTTTATAAATTTTTATAAAAATAATGTTAGGGCAGTGCAAGTTTAGGGATCTCTTCCCATTTTGGGAATGCCTCATTTTGGATGTCAGTCATTCAGGAGTACTGAGCTGTTTTTAAGTCTATAGAAGGCTTTAGGAGTTGTGTGGTTATTCTGGTCTGGACCCGTTGTTCCTTGGTGTAGGAATATGGGTAAGGAAACATAAACTTATAGAATTGCCCAGTACACTGAGAGATTGGTTACTGGCCAGACAAGGACGCAAGGCTTGTTTGTTTCAGTAGCAGGACTTGAACCCAGTTCTTCAAAAATCTAGGATTAGTCCTTTGTTTACTGCCAGATTCACTATGCCTGGCAGGAAGTTGTGGGAGAATAAATGTGTTTATAAACATAATTTTCTTCTTCTTTGAGAACATACTAGCTGCATGCCTTATTTCTTTTTTCTCTAGTGTTTTATGTGTTAGGGAAGGGCTTTGGGTAGTATGAGAGGATGCATTTTCTTCATTACGTTTTCACCTTGTGATGTGACCCAAGGGAAGAGTATAGGTGAAAGCAAATCTACCAATTTCAGGTAAACTACTACTCTATACATTCACGAGTACAGAGTAACTTTTCTAAACTAAGCAAGGAGTCTTCTGCTGAAGAAACCCTTTTTTTGGTTTTGTTTTTGTTGTATTTTTTTTGGTTATATAATACATATTTTTAATTTCTTCTGTGAAATATATATGTGGCAAAATGGCAGAGTGAAAGAAATGACTTGCTTGAGCACTCCCCCAAACCCTTCCAAATACTTGTAAAAAATGGCTCTAAACAAATTATAGAGCAACAGAATCCACAAAAAGACAAGAGTGAAAAAAATTTCCAGCCCAAGCCAACCTAGATGGTTGATTGGAAAGGTCTATTGCACTGGGCTGGCAGAGGAACACAGTTTAGTGTGGGGGTGCAGGCAAAGACCAGGCCTCACCGAGCCTGGAGCAGGCCTCAGAGGACGGAATCATGGGCAGCTGTGGTGGTTTCCAGACTTCTCAACCCACAAACACCAAAGACAGCTTAGAAAGTCAGTAGGAAAGGTCTGTGACCACAGTGAGAGAGAAGCTCAGTCCTAGTCCCAGTTCTAGCTGCAGCCTCAGGGCAGTGGCTGCTTCCAGAGCTTCTGGCCCACACACTGAGGGGGAATTGGGTCACTGATCAGAGAGGGATTGCAGGGATCTCTGCTGGCACTGAGGGAAGATTCTCTTGCTTTGCCCATGCTTAGATCCGGGTCACAGTTCTGTATGGCAGTCCTAGGGTGAGGAGGAGCGCTAGCATGGTGGAGCTTGTAGTAGTAGTGGAGGGAGAATCTTCCTTATAGTTCCAAGGCAGAAAAGATTGCTTGTGGTCACTCGTAGACCAGAGTACAGGCCAGAAAAGGAGTGAACACCTCACCCCTTATCATACCACCTTGGAAGAAATGAAAATTTACAGGTCCCTAGAAGTATCTCTGAAAACAGCTGCACAAAACCCCTGAAGCTTGGGACAGTACATTCTCCACACTGGAAGCAGACCCCCTACCTTAACAAAGTGTAAAACTCAGGTAATTGGCTGGGAACATGAGCAAACTGCACAAAAAAAGTCAGACCATAGAATCTTGCTTTGGTGACAAAGATCAAAACATACAACCAGAAGAAAACAACAATGTCAAATCTCCTACATCCAAAGCCTCCAAGAAGACTGTGAATTTGTCCCAGGCCATGGAAGAGTTCAAAAAAGATTTTGAGAAGTAGAAGAAAAACTGGAAAGAGAAATGAGAGTGATGCAAGAAAATCATGGAAAAACAAGTCAACAGCTTGCTAAAGGAGACCCCCCCCCAAAAAAAAATACTGAAGAAAATAACACCTTAAAAAAAGCCTAACCCAAATGGCAAAAGAGGTCAAAAAAGCCAGTGAGGACAAGAGTGCCTTAAAAAGCAGAATTAGCCAGATGGAACAGGAAGTCCAAAAACTCGCTGAAGAAAATACTTCCTTAAAAATTGACAACGGAGCAATTAGAAGCTAGTGATTTTGTGAGAAATCAAGACATTGTAAAACAAAACCAAAAGAATGAAAAAACAGAAAACCATGTGAAATATCTCATTGGAAAAACAACTGACCTGGAAAATAGATCCAGGAGAGATAATTGAAAAATTATTGGACTGTCTGAAAGCCATGAACAAAAAAAGAGCCTAGACATCATCTTTCAAGAAATTATCAAGGAAAACTGCCCTGATATTCTCAAACCAGAGGGTAAAATAGAAATGGAAAGAATCCACCCATTACCTCCTGAAAGAGATCCCCAAAGGAAAACTCCTAGGAATATTGTAGCCAAATTCCAGAGTTCCTAGGTGAAGGAGAAAATATTGCAAGTAGTCAGAAAGAAACAATTCAAGTATTGTGGAAACACAACCAGGATAACACAAGATTTAGCAGCTTCTACATTAAGGCAACGGAGGGCTTGGAATATAACATTCCTGAGGTCAAAGGATATAGGATTACAGCCAACAATCACCTACCCAGCAGAACTGAGTATAAACCTTTAGGGGGGGAAATGGATATTCAGTGAAATAGAGGACTTTCAAGCATTCTTGATGAAAAGACCAGAGCTGAATAGAAAATTTGACTTTCAGATACAAAACGCAAGAGAAGCATGAAGAGGTAAACAGGAAAGAGAAATCTTAAGGGACATATTAGGGTTGAACTGTTTACATTCCTGCATGGAAAGATGATATTTGTAACTCATAAGACCTTTGTCAATATTAAGGTAGTTGGAGGGGGAAAAATTATATGTATATATAGATGAATGGATGGATGGATAGATAGAGGGCACAGGGTGAGTTGAAGATGAAGGGGTGATATCTGGAGAATAAAATTAAGGAGTGAGAGAGGATTATACTGGGAGAAGTAGAAAGGGAGAGGTAGAATGGAGTAAATTATCTCACATAAAACAGACAAGAAAAAGGCTTTTACAGTGGAGGGGAAGCGGGAGAAGGTAAGAAGGAATGAGTGAATCTTGTTCTCAGCTGATTTGGCTTAAGGAGGGAAAACCATATGCACTCAATTGGGTATTGAAATCTTTCTCACTCTACAGGAAAAAAGGGGAAGAGGATAGAGGGCAGGGATGATAAACAGGAAGGCTGATTTGGGGAGAGGGTAATCAGAAGCAAACAGCCCAGAGGAGGGACCAGGTTTAAAGAGAGAACAGAATAAACGGGGGGCAGGGGCAGATTAAGATGAAGGGAAGTAATAGTTTTCTGTAACATGATTACTATGAAAGTGTTTTACATGACTACACATGTATAACTTGTATCGAGTTGCTTGCCTTCTCAATGAGGGAGGAAAGGAGAAAATTTGGAACCCAAAGTTTTAAAAGCAAATGTTAGAAGTTGTTTTTACATGCAACTGGGAAATAAGATATACAGGCAACGGAGTATAGAAATCTATCCTACTCTACAGGAAAATAGAAGGGGAAGGGCATAAGAGAGGGGGGAGATAGAAGGGAGGGCATATTAGGGGAAGGGGTATTCAGAATGCACACCATCTTAGGTTGGGGAGAGGGACAAGAAAAAAATTTGGAACTCTAAATCTTGTGGAAGTGAATGGTCAAAACTAAAAATAAATATTATTTAAACTGCAAAAAAAAAAGAAATATATAGGTGTGCATACTTGTGCATATATATAGGGAGTCCCTTAAAAAAAGCTTTCATAGGTCAAAACTGTACTAAAACCTTAAAGATACCATGTGTATATATGTGTATGTAGTCACATATACATATAGTCACATGTTTATGTATATGTATATAGTCAGAGAGAAATATAAGAATTTTAAAAAATAGTTAACGAGTACTATTACTTAAGAAGAAACAGTATCAGTTTATCATAGTTGTAGCAGTGATTTAGTACTTTCCAGTAAGATAAGCTGTTCCTGCACATTAACTACAATGAATTTTATGTTCTTTTGGAATGATTTATAAATGTGAGTATATGGGTTTTTTGTTTGTTTGTTTATTTTCCTGGACATCTTTGAAGGAACTCCTTCTATCAATGCAAGTTGGCACCTTCTTGCAAAATATAGTCTTAGTTGCCTGTGGCTCAGAGGTTGAATTATTTGCTCAAGGTCACACAGTCAATATGTATGAGAGGTGAGGCTTGAACCCCTATCTTTCTGACTTCTAAAGCCAGCTTACTGTCCATTATACCAGGCAGTCATTCATCTTCGTATATATATATATATATATATATATATATATACACATGTAGTTTTACTTACTAGTTCAAATTGAAATGTCAATTTAAAAAAAATGGTTCCTACTTATTTGGCAAATACTGTTTACTGACATGAGGTAATTTTTATCAAAACTTTCTATTTAAATTATTCAGATTTACTTTGTTGTATGTGAGTATGTTTATAACATGGTACTTTCAAATGGAAAAAAAAAAAGAATTGAAATATAAGAATAAATAAGTTCAGTCTCTGCATTGTCCTTAATCAAGACCAGCATTAAAAGAAACATTCCCTTTACTTTTTGAACATGAGTTAAAGAATAAAAAAAAATTTTTTTTTTAGATTACATAAATGGTGGAGAACTTTTTACTCACCTTTCTCAAAGAGAACGTTTCACAGAAAATGAAGTGCAGATATATATTGGGGAAATTGTGCTTGCCCTTGAACACCTCCATAAGGTGAGCTACTTAACCTCCCTATCTTCTTTTTCAAAGTAGCCCTTGTATTGTTTCTATATTTTAGACACATGTTGAGCATATTTCTTAAGTGTATTACTAGTTTCATTAATTGTAAAAGTATTTTTTCATTCTCTTCCCTGGTGTATTACCCGTGTACCAAACTAAGAGATAGTTTCTAAGGAACTTTTCTGTTTTACTTAGTAGTTAGAAACAATGGTTTCCTAACTTCTACCTGCCTTCCCTTCCTCCCCACCTACCATATTGAAAAGAGTAGCCCTGTGATTTTTATTTTTCAGTAAAGAAAACAAAAAGTGTTTTTTTTTTTATGGAACCATAATTCCTATTACATATTTCCCAAGCTACGCTTTCTTCCATATCTGAGAAAACTCTAATTGGGTTAAGGAGTAAGAGTTGCTTTATTCTTATTGGTTGAGGGTCTCCTATACTCAATTTCCATTTCTAATTTTTTAGTCTTTGACATTCTTTGTCTCATTACCTCACCCCTATGTAGACTTATCTCAGCTTTTAAAATATTCAGTTCTTGCCTATAATTTGTAATTCATGCTGCAAAAATCAGTGTAAAGGTCTTTCTTATCTTATTGAAAATATCATTTATCTAGATTTAAGAAATTTTAGTTACAGTCTTCATATTTCTGACTAAATACAGATGAAAAACAAACATAATAAATATTATCATCAGTAAACAGCTGCAGCAGCAACATTAAGTAGCATTAAGCTCTTACTGTATGCCAGCTACTAAGTGCTGGGTATGCAGGAAAAAAAGTCCAAAACGTGGTCCACGCTCTCAAAAAGCTCGAATTCTAATAGGTGATACAATATACAAGCAACTCTGTGTTCTCTCTCTTAAAGTTTGTGGAGGGGAGTGAAGTGTAAGAAGACTAAAAAGGTAAGATGGGACCAGATTGTGAAGAGCTTTAAAAGCCAAACAAGATTTTCAGGTTTAGGTCTGCTTATCTTAGTATGCAGTGTGTTATGTCACTAAATTTTTAAAAGTTGTTTCATGGTTTGGGCAAAGTTAATAAGGCATTTACAAATAAAACCTATTTTTTGAAAGTTCTCTGGCATCAACTGAAATGATCTGCCAAATACTCTTATATAAATAGAGGAAAGTAAAAATTATTGTGAAAAATCTTACAAGATGAGATGTCATGTTCAGTATTATTCACTTATGATATCAAATGATCCCATCCCTCACATTTAAGTATTATTAAATTTAAACTGAAATTTATCTGAAAATACATAATTTTTAAAATTTAGCTTTTTGATAATTAGTATTATTTCATAGTAACTGGTACCATCTAAAACTGTTTTGCTGCAAAGATTTTACGAATCAAAAATTTGAGAATTGTTCCTGATCCAACAGATCATCTTCACATGACTGCTGACACATATTGGGAATGGGAGACAGAGAATAGTAATAGATTAGCAAGAGGTGTTCAAGGGAGAGGGTCAGTGGGTTCATAAACCTGTGCAAATTTAGATACATGTTTTCTAATTTCTTTTTAATGTTCCCATTTGTTGTTCAGTCGTTTAGTTGTGTCTAATTTTTCATGATCCCCTGGACATGCCAAGATTGTCCATGGGGATTTTTTAGCAAGGATGCTGGAATGATTTGCCATTTCCTTCTCCAGTGGATTAAGGCAAGCTTAGGCTAAGTCAGTTGCCTACGGTCAAACAGCTAGTAAGTATCTGAGGCCAAATTTGAGCTCGTCTTCTGGACTCCAGGCCTAGCATTTGGTCCTCTGATCCACCTAGCTGCTTCTGTATAGTGTCTAGTAAATGCCATATATGCAAAGGTGATTACTAAATGACTGCCAAACTAACACACTTCTAAATTTTAAATATTAAATACAAAGTATTTCTGGTCCTTAGGTCTCAACAGATAAAGCAAAAGAATTAGTTATATCACTAGACTCTAGGGTAAAAAATTTGCCTATAAAAAGATTTAAATGCATCATGGTGGAAAAGCCTATTTCTTTGTTCCTGTTGTTTTTGAACTCCCTCTTTGAAAAGAGACATTTAGGGTGGAATAGGAAGGGATGAAGAGTAAAACTGCTTATTGCTAAATGTGTTTTCTAACGTTCAGTAAAATGACTTGAAAATCTAGAAATTTTTATCTCATCCTAATATTAACCTATATTTATTTTATTTCTCCCTCAGTTGTCATGATGTGCCATACTTTTCTTTGAAATCAGCATCCTTTGAATGGCACTCATCCTGTGACTTAGGTATATAAATCAAATTGATTGATATATATTTCCTCATACCTTATGAAGCAGAAAAGGTTACTTCTTGGAAGTAATTATCTTGTATTTCCTGTATTTACATTTATTTGCCTTTTAAGGGATTATCAAAGATTTCATACCCTTGATATTGGTGAAAATAGGTTTCTTTTGCTTAAAACACTTATTTTAGGCCAGGAATTCATTTTAAGACTGAATATGAAACTTACACTGAGAAAGTGGCAATGATGTAGCTTCTGTAAGAGATGATGAGGCAGTTATTTGCAGTTTGTTCATCAGTGGTTGTACACAGAATGAAATAGTTATAAAAGGTTGAATTGGTTTGCTTTAGCTGTTTAAACCCTAAGGACTAACTAAAATGAAATTATTTTAGATATTTGAATTTAGAAATGAGTTCATTTAGAAGACATTTTTAATTATCTGTTGCATACATAGCACTTTACTAGACACTGAAAACATAAAATAAATGGAAAATCAAGAAATCTACAATTTAACTGTCAAATAAACATACAGGAAAAAGTGAAGGAGGTATGATTTATAAATAAATGTAGTACAAATTACATATAAGTATGTAAAGAAATATACTTTGTGGGGTGTTTAGTCAGGGAAGCCTTCTTAGAAGGGTGTATTCAGGGAAGACCTCACTTTGGAGGAGGTGGAGGTTTTTCCTACTAGGGAACAATATTAGCAAAGGCATTAAAGCAGGGATAAATATGATGTAAGTAGATAAAGGTAAGAAAATTGGTCTTCCTAGATTGAAAGGTCACAATAGGGAATAATGAGAAATTCCATTGGGTAGTTAGGAAAAGGAAAGCTGGGAGAGGACTTTCTTAAGAGCTTACATCAGTCTGATTGGTGATAGGAAACTACTGTGAATTCTTGAGCAATGGAATGATGGGGTTTTTTTAAATGACGTCTAAGAATTTTTATTGTTATTTTAAATGTTTATTTGCTTTTTTTCACAGTTGGGCATTATATATCGTGACATTAAACTAGAGAATATTCTACTTGATAATAATGGCCATGTGGTGCTGACAGATTTTGGTCTAAGTAAGGAGTTCGTTGCTGATGAAGTAAGTATTGTATATATTTTAAAGTTATCAATATGTTTATAAATAGAAAAGAAGTTGATTCATTTGAAAATTTTTTTGTGGATTGCTTTTAGTACCAGATTACTATAGCATATATATATGTGTGTGTGTGTGTGTGTGTATGATTTTTAAAGCATACACATATGAGGTATGGGTGCTCACTTTTTTTTATTTGTAAGGGTACATAATACAAAAAGTTTAGAGTCCAACACTAGGTTAAATAATATTTTTGCATTGTAAACTAAGTATTATTATAGCAGTTTCTTTGAAATTGCTTTGCAGAAGCTCTTGCACCTTATGTGAACTCAACAATATAGCAACACTGGCCTCCTTGCTGCTCCTCACATATAGCATGCCATCGCCTTTCTTTATACATTTTCACTGGCTTCTTTCAAGTCTTAGTTGAAATCCCAACTTCTATAAGAAAGCTAGCTTCAGTTTATCCTAGATATATTTTATTCATCCATAGCTGTTTGCATGTTTTTTTCTGATTATACTGTGAGTTCCTTGAAAGCAGAGACTTTTTGTTTATTTTGGTTTGGTTTTTGCCTTCCTTTGTATTTGTATTAGTACAATGCCTGGCACATAATAGGCACTTAATAAATACTTGTTGACTTGACTTATTGTCATAGAAATAGTACTAAAATACTATGTGGGGAGGCAGAGCCCAGATGGTGAGGTAAAGGCAGAGACTCGCCTGAGCTCTCTCTCAAACCCTTCCAAATGGCTTTAAAAAATTACTCTAAACAAATTCTAGAGCAGTAGAACTCACAAAAAGAGACGGAGTAAAACAATGTTCCAGCCCAAGTCAACCTGGAAGGTTGGCAGGAAAGGTATGTTGCACCAGGGTAGAGAAGAGTGCAGTCCAGCACAGGCCACGCCAGTGCAGGCCAGGCCCCAGCAAACCCGGAGCAGGCCTGAGGGAGACTGAATCACTCACGGCAGTGATGATTTCCATATCTCTTAACCTGCAGACACCAAACAGAACTTAAAAGGTTAGCAGGAAAGGTCAGTCACACCTGGGTGAAAGTAGAATGTAGTCCAATGCAGGCTTCACCAACACAGCCCAGGCCACAGGAAACCAGGAGCACGCTTTGGGAGTGACTGAATCAGCAAGCAGCAGCTGCTTCGGGAGCTCTCAGTCCACAGACAGTAAGAAGGTTGAACAGTTAACTGGTCAGAAGGAGATGATAGGAGTCTTTTTGCTAGCACTGAGGCAAGACTCTGTGGCTTTGCCCATGCTTGGATCCAGGTCCTGAGTAAGGCAGAGCACTAGCACAGCAGACCCTGCAACTGCAGAGAAGGGGGGGACCAGGGCAGAAAAGAGTGCTTGTGGTCAGTCACAGACCAGAGCACAGGCCAGGAGAGGAGTTAAACACCTCACCTTAGATCATCCCACCTTGGAAGAACTGAAAACTTACAGGTCCCTAGAAGTGTCTCTGAAAACAGCTGCATAAAACCCCTGAAGGTTGGGGCAGTTCACCCTCCACCCTGGAAGCAGAGCCATATTTTAACAAAGACTTAAAAGTCAGCTAATAAGCTGGGGAAAATGAGCAAACAATGGAAAAAAGCTCTGACTATTGAAAGTTACCATAGGGACAAGGAACATCAAAACACACACTCAGAAGAAAACAATAAAGTCAAAGCTCCTACATCCAAAGCCTCCAAGAAAAATATAAATTGGTTTCACTCCGCTCATAGAAGAGATCACAGTGGTTTTGAGAAGCAAGCAAGAGAGGTAGAGAAAAAATTGGGAAGAGAAATGAGAGTGATGTAAGAAAATCATGAAAAACAAGTCAACAGCTTGCTAAAGGAGACCCCAAAAAATACTGAAGAAAATAACACCTTGAAAAAACAGATCAGGCCAAATGGTAAAAGAGGTCCAAAAGCTCCCTGAAGAAAATAATTCCTTAAAATTAGAATGGAGCAGATAGAAGTTAATGACTATGAGAAATCAAGCAATAGTAAAATAACACTAAAAGAATGAAAAAAAAAAACAGTGGAAAATATCTCATTGGAAAAACAGCTGACCTGGAAAACTCCTGAAAGAGATACCAAAAAGAAAACTGCCAGGAATATTATAGAAAAATTCCAGAGTTCCAGGTCAAGGAGAAAATATTGCAAGCAGCCAGAAAGAAACAATTCAAGCATGGTGGAGCCACAGTCAGCATAACACAAGATTTAGCAGCTTCTGTATTAAAAGATTAGAGGGCTTGGAATATGATATTCTGGAGGGCAAAGGAGCTAGAATTACAACCAAGAATCACCTACCCAGCAAAACTGAGTATAATCCTTTAGGGGGAAAAAAATGGATATTCAATGTGATAGAGAACTTTCATGCATTCTTGATAGAAAATTTGACTTTTAAATCCAAGACTCAAGAGAAGCATAAAAAGGTAAACATGAAAGGGAAATCATAAGAGACTTAATAAGTTTAAGCTATCTACATTATTACATGGGAAGATATTTTTAACTTATAAGACCTTTCTCATTTTTAGTGTAGTTAGAAAGGAGCGTATATAGACAGAGGGCACATGTGTGAGTTGAATATGAAGGGATGATATATAAAAAATAAAAATAAGGGGTGAGAGGAATGTACTGGGAGAAAAAGAAAGGGAGAGGTAGAGTGGGATAAATTATCTCACATAAAAGAGGCAAGAAAAAGGTTTTGCCGTGGAGGGAAGAGTGAGGGGGAGTGAATGAAGCTTAGTCTAATCAGAATTGGCTCAAAGAGGGAATAACATACATATGCAATTGGGTATAAAAATCTATCTTATTTACCCTACAGGAAAGTAGGAGGGGGAAGAGAATAATAGAAGGGAGGAGGGGTGATAGAAAGGAGGGCAGATTGGGGGAGGGGGTAGTAAAAGGCAAAACACTTTTGAGGAGGGACAGGGTGAAAGGAGAGAGAGAGAATAGGAATAAATGGAGCGAAGGAAGATAGGATGGAGGGAAATATAGTTAGCAATAGTAACTGTGAAAAAACATTTGAAAGAAGTTTCTCTGATAAAGGCTGCATTTCTCAAACATATAGAGAACTGAGTCAAATTTATAAAAATAAGAGCCATTCCCAATTTATAAATTGATCAAAAGATACGATCAGTTTTCAGATGAAGTAATCAAAGCTATCTATAGCCATATGAAAAGATACTCTAACTTACTGTTGATTGGAGAAATGCAAATTAAAACAATTCTGAGGTACTACCTCATACCTGTTAGATTGGCTAATAGGACAGATAAGGTCAATGACAAATGTTGAAGGACATGTGGGGAAAATGAGGCTTTAATGCACTGCTGGTAGAGTTGTGAACTGATTCAGCCATTCTGTAGAGCCATTTGGAACTATGCCCAAAGGGATATGAAAACCATGCATACCCTTTGACCTAGCAATACCACTTCTAGGTCTGTAAATCCCAAAAGAGATTTAAAAAAAAAAAAGGAAAAAAACCTGTATCTGCAAAAATATTTATAGCAGCTCTTTTCTAGGGGTAAAGAATTAGAAGTTCAGGGGATGCCCAAGAATTGGGGAACAAGTTGTGTTATGTGATTATGATAGAATACTGTTGTACTATAAGAAATGATGAGCAGGATGCTCTCAGAAAAACCTGGGCTGATGCAAAGTGAAATGTACTATGTACAAAATAACAGCAATATTGTAATGTGATCAGCTGTGAATGACTTATCTGTTCTCAGCAATAAGACAGCTCTGAAGTATTTATGACGAAAAATACTATCCATCCCCAAAGAAAGAAGTGGTAGTATCTGAATACAAATTGAAACATACTTTTTAACTTTATTTTTCTTGAGGTTTTTTTTTTTTGTTTTTTTTTTTAGGCAATTGGGGTTAAGTGACAGTTGCCCAGGGTCACACAGCTAGTAAGTGTCAAGTGTTTGGTCTGAGGCCATATTTGAACTCGGGGCCTCCTGACTTTAGGGCCGGTGCTCTATCCACTGCGCCACCTAGCTGCCCTTTGAGTTTTTTTCTTATCTATGTTTTCTTCCACATGACTGATACGAATTTTAAAAAAAGAAGAAAAATAAAATACTACCTGAAGGTAAAAAATGACTTTTACCTTAAATAAATTTGAGTTTCAGTTGATTTCCACCAAGGGGTTTAGCTACTACAGGATAGAGTCAGCGTAGAATGTAAATGGTAATAAATTTCTATCTCAGAAGGATACTGTTATCATGAAATGTTTGATTCCTATGTTTCAAATTCTACATGACTTCCTTCCAATTTTGATTTTGTTGATGTTTCCCAAAGAAGGAGGCTGGACCATTGGTTGTTTTCTAACAAGTGTCTATATTTACTAAAAGGTCTTCATAGGGCAAATGCTAAAGTTAACATAATAATAATAAAGGTTGGAGAAGCAGTATAGTGTAATAACAAAAGCACCGGCCCTGAATAGATGGTCTGGATTCAGATTCTGGCTCTGTCTCTTACTGAACACGTGTGGGACATTATAAGGGACAGCGATCATATAGTGAAAAGGTGATGTGGGGCAGTTACTTAGCCTCTATGGGCCTTCATTTCCTCATCTATAAAATGTGAAGGTTGGACCAGAGAGCCTCTAAGATCCCTTTACCTCTATACCTGTGATTTTATTGCCATAAAATAAATAATTAAATCAGATGCCCCTTGAAGATTAAAAGAAAGTCAGTGGGGTATTATAGTGCATTAGATTAATTTTGAGAAATTTATAAATTTTTATATGTGATTTCTAATACTTTATCCCTTGGTAGAATTGTAAATTTCATGAGTAGAGATAATTTTTTATTTAATTTTTGTATCTTTCCCTGACTCTTACTTCTTCATATAGTAAATATGAGAACATAGATATGGAAGGGACTATAGAGATGAACCCCATAATTTTACAGTGAGGAAATTGAAGCTTAGAGAAATTGAGTCAGGTTGACTCCTACAGAACATGGACATGGAAAGATATTTGTAAAGGATAGAATGAATCTATCTAAAACCAGTG